CGTTCGACAATCTGCGACGGCACACAAAATTCCGAGGACCAACCTGATGCGTTATATTGCAGCATTTGATGGTGCGAGCATCGACGTTACTACTGCCAATGCCGATGTAATGAAGAATTTGCTGGCTGAAAGCACGACGATGGGCACAAAAACAGTAAGTTCTGCTGGTTTCTTTCTTTTTCTTTCATCGAATAATAAAGAATTTTTTTTTTCAGATCTTCAACATCGAACAAGAGAAGGCGCTGATAAGCTACATTCTCCAGGCCAGCGACATCAACTATGGAATTAGTTTGATGGAGCTTCGTAAGCTCGCGTATGAATTTGCTCGGAAAGTTTTCGCGTCATATCCGGATCCATGGAACGACAATCAACAGGCGAGTAAGGATTGGCAGTTGGCGTTCATGAAACGCGACAAAAATTTGTCACTGCGAACACCAGAGCAAGTAAGCCAGAGCCGTGCGAAGCGATTCAACAAAGAGAATGTCGATGTATTCTTTGCCAACCTTTCATCCGTTCTCGGTAAGACGCCGTTTGAACCTCACCGAATATGGAACATGAATGAAACCGGGTGCCCGACCGTGCCAACCAGACCTGTCAAAACCATCGCSCGCAAAGGACAAAAGCAGGTCGGCTCATCAACATCTGCCGAAAAAGGCACCAATGTGTCTTTGGCTTTGGCCGTCAGCGCTAGTGGCCAGTCTATACCGCCATTCTTCCTCTTTCCCCGAGTCAACATGAAAGAGATTTTTATGACTCATGCGAGTCATGGCGCTGTTGGTGTTGCGAACGGTTCTGGTTACATGAACTCTGACGTATTCCCTCAATTCATGCGTCATTTCATAAAGCACACCGGTGCTAATGCCGATTCGCCAACCATGTTGCTGCTGGACAACCACGGTTCGCATTTATCGATCGAGGCGATAGATTTGGCGTTGGATCATGGCATCACAATGCTGTCTTTTCCGCCGAAATGCACGCACAAAATGCAGCCGCTAGATATTGCGGTATTTGCACCATTTAAAGGCATGATGACCGTGAAGCATGATRCATGGAAAAAGTCCAACATTGGTGTCACTTTCGATCTGCATCATCTGCCGCTCCTTGTCGATCAGTGCCTCGATGTTATGTTAACGCCGAAAACCATCAAATCCGGCTTCCGAACAACTGGCATCTACCCGTTCAACCCGCAAATTTTCCCTGAAGTTGACTTTGTCGCTTCGGAACTGAGCGGCGAAAATTTGTTCGGTGACGAAGAGAAAGACGCCGACAATCAACGTCGAGTTCTTGCCTCTGGTGATGCCATTGTGACTGCTGCGAATGAGGAGGTGTCAACGTGCCGCAAGACAATGGAGTCAACGATTTTGACATCGCCTGAGGTTGTCGCAGATCTGCGTGACAAGGCCAAAAAAAAGCGGCAAAAATTTACGAAGGCAGCCGATGAACCAGCAGCCAAGAAGCAAAAAGACCGTGGCAGATCGAAGACGCCACGGAAGAGAAGCCCGTCTCCGACCGAAACCGACATCGAAGAGGACTACGATTTTTGCACGATTTGCAAGAAAAAGATGCCGAAGCACGAGAATCGTCAAAACACGGCCCATTGCATCGTTTGTGATCGAGGGTTCACTTGAAATGTGCCGCATCCACTGCGAGTCGGAATAATTTTTTTCGCCAATTCCTATTTTTCTTATTATTTATGAATCTTTCTTTCATTTTCATTGACAAATAAACGTTTTTCATCGGTAACAATCATGTTTCAATCGATTTACAGACTGGCCCACCTTTTTTCAAAATCGCAACATCAGGTTTTTTGCGCCAATGGCTATAACTTTTAAATTTTTGTAGAATTTTATCAAACCAATGTTATCAAAAGGAAGGTTACGACTCGCTTTGGAATTTTCACAAAAAATAGTTTTATGTGACTTTTTAACCGAAATCAAAACCATGCCCAACATTCCCCACCTTCCCCTACTCCATGAGTCACCATTTCATCCCGAAAATATTACGGTTTGTTGCGGTTTGTGGGCCGGTGGCGTCATTTGGGCGTACTTCTTCCGTAATGATTAAGACCGGTACGTTACTGTGAATGGGAATCGCTACCGCTGAATGATAGCCTAATATTTTGGCTCGAACTGGATTATGTATGTGGTTCCAACAAGACAGCGAGACAAGCCACACTTCCACAGGCAAGTTTGTTAAACGTGTTATCTCACGAGATGGCACAGTTAATTGGCCGCCTCGGTTGCGATTTGAAGCCGTTAGAACATTTCCTGTGGATCTACGTCAAATCTATGCCAGTGACGATCGAACGCCAAATTGCAGCAGCCCGTTTATGCTAGAAAATCGTCGAAAATTGGGTTCAGTATCTGGACTTCTGCAAGTGTGACCGTGGTGACCATGCAAAAGAAATCGATTTCCATACATAATGGCATCGAATGTACTTTCACAGGAATAAAGAATTTTACTGATATCCGAAACCAACAAGGCTCAATTGACTCAGCTGCTCATGCTGATAATTTATACTCGTATATGCATTTATTTTCAATGATAAATTCAACACCCTCAAGTTAATTCACGAAGATTTGTAGTATATTATTACGTCCACTGCTTATTAGCATAGTTCTTGAGATGACCAGGTGAACATCACTGATTCTACCGTATCGTAGAGGCAAAAGCGAAAATTAAAAAAGATTAAGATGAAAGTATAAAATTTTCTGCTATTTCCAGCTGAAGATCTATACGAAATTATCGGCCAGAGGGATTTTAATACTGGACATAGTTCAAAAAGTGGTCTGGCGAACATGTCGCTTTTACTTCACTCTCCAAAATCTCAAGGGTTATTGTTACTGCTGTTTCGAATTACCTCAATGTTTTGTACATTTTATGACAAGTAATGAAAAAAACATATTGATTCTTGATCGAACTGAACATCAAGTTCAATACAACTGCAATAATGAATTAATATTCAACTTACCCGATTTCCCGAAATTGTGCACAAAAAATATGACCTACACGCTTCCTAGCATTGATTTATTGCGCTGAAGGTAAAAGCTTCAATTTACAATCTTACTATTGTATAAACAAGTAAAGAAGGGCTAAGCTCGGGTACAACAGAACATTTTAAACTCTTGCAACTTGCAGGAATCAAAGCAAGAGACATAGTTTAAGGTACAAAACGTTAACCAGATTATCGCAATCCAAGCAATTTTATAAAAACTTATCTATACTTGTATATAATTCCTATACGATAGACATATATAGTTTGTTAGAAAAACGAGAACCATTATATGGAATTTGGGGTAGTATAGACCCGATTTTACCTATTTTTCCAATGCCACATTCTATTGACCAGTCACATACTATAAAACCAACCCTAAAGGGCAGAGACAGCCGGATGTTCGAAAATCCTGATATTTGTTATATAGGGGATAGGTCAAGTTTTTGCTCAAATTTATCTATTTTAGACACAAAGATATACTGTTAGGAGTAAAACACGCTCTCTAATTATATTTTTGATATAGAGACATACCGTTATTAGAGCAAGATTATCTCAGATTTTGAATTGTATATCTTACACGTTGGCCAATATTTTCGATCAAGAATCAACTATAGGTACTGGTGTCGAAATAATCGGTATAGAGGGGCTTGAACATTTTTAGTTCCTGTTGTATTAATTACTTCTTGATTTGTGTACTGAAAAGTGAAAAAATCAAGTGGAATTTGAAATTGTACTGTATTGAAAGTAGAAGTGGTTGCACTCCGATCGCCCATTCGCCCACTTTCGCTCTGTAATATAGGACTATGAATAGAATGCCACATACAAAGTTTTGTCGAAATCGGTTATTCATGTTCCGAGATATGAGATTTCACCAAAATGTGGCTCCCATAAAGTTCTCTCATACCATCTGTCACTGCCGTATTTTATTATTGATTTATTGCTTTTAGTAGTTTTTAACAGTAACGTTATAAGGGAAGTGTGAGGGGTTATCCACCGATTCCATCAATTTTCATACTGTCGGTAGAAGTTCTTATATAATTTGTACGCAGCAGATTTGGCTGTTGTTAGCTTAATTGGCTTAAGAGATATGTACATTAAATTTATTAGAGAGCGGGGCTACGCCCACTTTTTCACAATTTTTTGCTCACAGGTGCCCCTGGCTACAACGATCCTCAGTGTCAAATTACAGTTTCATATCTTAGTTTGGTGCTTAGTTATGGCATTTAATATGAATTAGGTTAATGGCTATTTGAGGGCGTGGCAGTGGTCCGTTTTTTTTGTACTAAGGAACCCGTTTACAAAGTTTCATCAAGATCTTAATTTTTTCTCAAGTTACAGCTTGCCCGGACGGACGGTCGAATGGGCGGATAGACAGGCAACCGGATTTCAACTTTTCTCGTCATCCTGATCATTTATATCTGTCTCGATTAGTTTTATGTCATACGTACAAGAGTTAGGTGAACAAAACTATAATATTCTAGCAATTGGTTGCATAAAAATGCAAAGTTAGTTGTCGAGTTATCAATACATCTATTATTTTATCTAAATCTTGAGATTGTGAACAAAAATCTTAAGTACTGATAATATTTTAAGAGGTCTCAAAATACACAGTGAAAATAGTGCAAAATATTATTATTTTTAAATACAATTAAAATTATCACAATAATGCGAGTATTAAGTTTTTTATCTATCTATATCGTCAACACAGGTAATTAGTATAACTATTTTGGGGAGAATTTAAAAAATTTCACATGTCTGTTATCGATGGTGGAATTACACCGTTCTAGATATAATAGGGCAAAATTACCAAAGTATATGCATATATAGTATACATCCTAACATATATATGTACATATATGATGGTATTTTTGCGCTAGATAAATTGTACATTACAGCTATTTAAGCCCAGTCTTCGACATAATAGTTTTTAAAGGAACTAAATCAAACTAAAAGTCAGAGCAAGAATAAAAAGCAGTAACTAAAACTCAAAATAAAAAAGACAAACCTGAATACGTGCCTCGGGTAAACCAATTTTTTCAGCGAGCCTTTCACGTGCAAATACATCTGGATAATGTGTTCTCTCGAATTCTGCAAAATTAGAAATATAGTAAAAAATAAATTTATTGTAAATGCATAGTTTCCGTAACAGAAAAAAAAACTATTAATCAAAATATATTTTATATCTTTAAAACGAAGAGTAAATAATTTATATCTTACGAAGCTTAAGCAGAAGTTAGTATATTAAAAACTTCGGGTCCCTTAATCATGAAATTGTGTTTCTTTGTTTAGAGTATAGAAAATTTATCCGAAATTACTGAATGTACTACTATATCCCCAATGTGATTTTCTTATTTATTTATTTAGACATTTATGTTTTTCGAAATATTTTCTGATACAGTTATATTCAATATAACAAAAAGGAACATTGCGTGATAGCAGTATGGGTCGTACGTAGTTTATTATAGACCAAAGGTAAATTTGAATATTAGCTATAGTTTCATAAAATATGTGTATTTTTTGCATTCATTTAATGTCTCAAACTCTTAGCATTTATTTTTCAACAGAATTGAAACTATGTGAGACTATTTCCAGTGGTATTCTTGGCAATTTTACGGAAATCACAATCAGCTGTTTACTATTTTCTCGCCTTCTGGTTTCTTATCTGCAAAATGGAGTTCATTGATTGAGGGATCGTCTTAGTGTGATTCTCTGATAATGCCCTGATTTATGCGATTTTCTCTTTTGTTGATATTAACTAATCGGTCTTGTTTTTTTTATAAATAAATACAGACATGACGACTACAAAATATTTTTTTTATGTTTATTTATTGGGTGTATAATAGTTAAATCAATTGGGGAAATTACACGTAAGGAAACGTACGAAGTCCACGATTTCGGCCGCAATTTTGATCTAAAACTAAAATTTGAAAAAGAAAAATAATTTGTAGGAAAGTCGTTATAGCGCTATTGCGCTGTGACAGCTTTTTTGTTTTTTTAATTTTATCGGGTGATTTTTTAAGAGCTTGATAACTTTTTTAAAAAAAAAAACGCATAAAATTTGCAAAATCTCATCGGTTCTTTATTTGAAACGTTAGATTGGTTCATGACATTTACTTTTTGAAGATAATTTCATTTAAATGTTGACC